AGCGTGCCAAAATGGCGTCTGTTGTCACGCTAATTATTGAACCAAATTGCCTAAATTCGTCTATAGGAAGTACACATCTCTAGTTAATATTGAAACTAGAGAAAAGTAGTTATTTAGACAAACTTTAATAACCGACTGAGAACCAGCACTCTCCTCTTGACAAGTAAAATTGTCTTGTGTTAGACAAAGTAAAATAATAAAGTAGGGCGCATTACGTCTCAATCAATTCCATGCAGGGTGTTAGCCAGGCGGCCGTCCGACCGTCCTATGGACGGCCACTTCTGAATTTGGACGGCTAAATTTTAATGGACGGCCATGGACGGCCTAAGGGAATATTTTCTTTAAATAGCAACCTACAAGGTTTCTCGCCATATTTTTGTAAAACGTGCCATGTTTTTGTAATCATTTTGATGATTCTCGCATGAAATATCAAGGAGAATAACGTGAAACCGTTGTTTTAAAAAACAGCAATCGCTTTATCGCTCGAGCGCCACGTTACAGTTACGGTAGTGATCATACCATACGTGTGCTTTTACTAATTTAATGACGGAAGCATCTAAAACTAAAAGTATAAAGGTTCAACGAATAAAACACCACAATTCCTCAACAACAGAAAATTGCGGCCACACCCAAAAACATGTGACCACTCCCACAAAAATATGTTGCCACGCCCACAAAATTATTTTGGACGGCCACTTTTGAAATCCTGGCTAACACCCTGATTCCATGCCTGTCCATCCCCCCCCCCCCGGTATTTGGTGTTTGCACCTGCTTCCTGGGTTGGGCATTTGCTTATTGGAAGTCGTTCCAAGGTTAAAACTCCCATGTTTCATCGGGAGTTTTCTCTCCATTTAATTGTAACTAATAGTACGTGATAATGGTGATTACCTCAGAAAGTTGTATAAATTCACACATGTTAAAAGCATCCTTGTTGTTTACTTAGTTTTATAATATTCTAGATTTGATTGTCTTTATATTGAATGAAAATGGGAATACAGCTTTTGTAATTTAATTACTATGTACTATGTAATTTTTTTGTACACATAACAATATTGATTCCAGAAATAAATCAACATGGCTATAGAGCCTTGTTCCAATATGTCACGACTTATTATTTCACCAATTAAAATGATGTCCCCCAAGGGTGGGGAATTCGCATCAATTTCACATCCCAATGGGTGGGGGAGTTTGTATCTAAATGTCAAATGCCTGACAAATGCCCGGTGGAGGGATAGGCATTCATGAAATTGATTGAGACATTAGGGCATAATACAACTTAATAGGTTAATTCTTTTACTCTGGAGAGAATTTGGCCATCTTAGTACAATAGCAGGTCATTCCAGATCTGAGGCCATTTCATCAGGCAATGTACAGTACACGACTACACATAACAATCAACCATCAGGCCCACTATCATTGAATGGAGGTAAAAAAAACCAAAGAAATGGCTGTCAAACAAAAGGCAATGTAAAACAATACAAAAGCCCTCCTTTACCCTTGACTGACACCAATATGAAATCCGAGAATTGATACTTGTAAGCAAGGTGACATGCACCAAATAGTGACCTAACTGTAGCTATTTGCAGGGCCTCTTTTAACTTAACCTATTTGGGGTCCTCCAGTAACCTACGTTGCCCCCCCCCCCACGTCTAGCCTCACATTCACAAAAGAATAAAAAATATATTTTCCAAAATATTCCTTTCACCATTTACTAATCAAAGATTGACCAAATTTTTTACTCCGCATTTTGCCCTAAACTGTAAAAAATAATGAAAGATTGCATTGTGACACCATTCAGAGGTCCAGCAAGAGGCATATTTTTTCCTGCAGGACTAAGATTTTTGGAAAAGCAATAGATTTTTACTGTATTTTAGTCTGCTTAGTACTCGTTGTAAAGTTTTATATGTGAACAGATATTACATAGCAATGAAAAAATTGCGGATAAACAAATGGCGGCATCTCCTTCGAATGAGTTGTAGAACTTTTCTTAACTATATTCCCCTGTCTTAACCTTGATCCTTAAACTGTATGAATTTCATACGATGGATAATAGACGACAGGTTTTCTTTACAACGTTCTAATAGTTGAACGAGTTTGTTTGCTTGTCGTCGTAACGTCCAAAAGTGTCGTGAGGCAAATACAATTTTATAGCACTTATTTTAAAAATAAGTTTAGTAAACGCATTTAAGGCTTGATGCTTGCAGCAATCGCTGGGCATAGCAATAGGGAGCTACTATCTATTACTATCTCGAACGGTTTGTGCCAGTGAAAGTAGTGACGATATTGTGAAAGATGCGGATTGAATGATTGATTGAGAGGGAGCAGTTCGACAGTCGGGAAAGGCCTAGTTCGTTGAAAACGTAGACTTTGTAACCTCTCTCAATCCGTATCTTTATAAATATTACTGTCAAATACATCTTTAGACTTTTATCTAACTGACTATTGTAGGTAAAATATCTAATACTCACCATTTAGACAAAATTCAGGCGATTATTTTGGACGAGAACCGTAGCAAAATTGTATGGAGTTATTAAATGTGCCGGGGACAAAATTGTTTGTGCGTTGGCGCGGTCGAGTTCGGATGTTGCAGGGATGTTGTGGCAAGGTAGTTATCGTCGAGTCGTCAGATTTCAGCCGAGATTTTCAATTCGTCGCTTTGTTTTTCATTTCTATCTTGTCAAAGCAAGATGGAAACACTCTTGTCCTCGTTGGGCCGTGGGCCTTTTGCGACAACAAGTTGGTGAAAGCGCGCAGGGGATCAAGGGAAGAATGGGGAAATGTTGGCACGTCAAGTGTAACTGAACGATATAACACTGTATACATAGACTACGTGCACACCGTAACGTTTTCGAGCGTTTTCATTTGCGTTTTCACGCTAAAACGGATGCGAAAACTATTAATTTACGACTGAAGCTGTAGTTTATTTAATATATTGGAGATATTTTCCTTTGAACCACGTGAACAGGGCATCAAAGCGATTAAAGGGACAAAAACGTTTTTGAAAACGCTCGAAAACGACGCCCGTGTGCACATAGCCATAATTCACTGGTCAGTGTCTGTGAGCTTACAGTAAATAACGTGAATATATAAACTGGAACTACCTTCAGATAAACTTCGAGATTTTGTTGGCATCTCACTCGATTCAATAATAGTTGACGGTTCTTGTAGATGAAAATTATCGCAGGTCTAATAAATGTATATAAATTTCCACTCGATAATTTCTATCCACAAGAACTGTCAACTTCAGATCAACTGCCTCTTCCCCCAGGGGTCAAACCCGCGTGTTAATATCATGATTGACTGATTGTGCGCTCTTCGCATGCGTGAAAAGACTGGGACTAGCCTTCAAGTTTGGCTTCAAATTTCTGGTTGGATTCATTCAATGGTCAGTACTACATCTATGGTCAGTACCAAACTGACATGACGTCATTGTCGGAAGATGGAAGAGGTGTTAAATGGCTATGTAACTAACCCAAACCCTACCCCTAACCAAATTTACAGCTCTGAAGGTCTTAAACTGTTTTTATACCATTTTCCCCAACTAATTCCAGTGTCACTAAACCAAATTACAGTTCATAAAAAAAACTTTAACACTGCTACATTGTATTTTTTGTTCAGTCACTGCATTAAAACGAGTGAATTTTGCGAAAATTCATCAACTTTTATTCTACTCAATTCCGTCAATTTTCACGGCAAACTAAGCTGCCGGCCCGACGTCACAAAATAAAGCTCTCTGATTGACCAAGATTTCAGCGAGCCTTCAGCCAGCCAATCCCGAAAAGGTCTTTTATTTTTAAAAAATCCATAAAATTGCTCTAAATTAATGCAATGCTTATTGCTTATATTCTCGCTTGATTAATCTACACTAAAACCTCTATAATTCATATTGCAGGAATTACATCATGCACAGTACATGCGCATAGCTAGCCTATGGTTCGTCTCATTTCCTACGAGACCACTACCAAATACCAATATTCTTGGAAAGGGTCTCGTCAATTCTATACAACTCCAAGAGGCAAGAGATTTAACTGAAACTACTATTAAAGCTTCTGGCTGGTTGTCTCACCTGTTTTTTAAGGAGCCAATTACATGAGCCAAATTGTCCCGGCTACACACGCAGAAATCTCATATCTTGTTACAAGTTTGTCAACAAGTTGTCTTCGCACTGCTTGTCACAAGTTGTCAACAAGTTTGGAACAAGCTGTTATCAATTTGTAACAACCTTATTGATATTATCAGGCTTGTTACAAGGTTGTTCCAACAAGTCCGATACAGTTATTATATAGTAGTATTGTTACAACCTTGTGTCGTCAACCTTGTAATATTCTTGTTTATCATGACTGTATCAGACTCGTTAGAACAATCTTGTGACAAGTCTGATAATGCCATCAAGCTTGTTACAAGTTGTTAACAGCTTGTTCCAAATTTGTTACAACTACTGGGAACAAGCAGTGCGAAGACAACTTGTTGACAGCTTGTGAACAGACATGTAACAACTTGTTTGCAGACTTGTAACAACTTGCTTGTAACAACTTGTGTGCTTTTACGTGTGTACACAGGCAAAAATCTCACATCGTGTAACAAGTTTGTCAACATGCCGTCAACAGGTTGTCTTATAAAACTGCTTGTCACACGTTGTCAACAAGTTTGTAACAAGCTGTTAACAATTTGTAACAACCTTGTTGATATTATCAGGTTTGTTACAAGGTTGTTCCAACAAGTCCGATGCAGTCATGATATAGCTGTATCATCTTCAATACCTAAGTTACCTAACAGCAACTATTCAACTGCAACACAAATCATTTTGTTAATCTATACACCCTTTTCATAACTGGCTGCCGATTAAAAATTCTTTTATGTGCATATAAATTGGCCCAACTAGCCTCGTACTCATGTTAAAATTTCAAAGGAATTTCTACTCAGAAACGAGGCTAGTTGGGCCAATTTATATGCACATAAAAGAATTTTTAATCGGCAGCCATTTATGAAAAGGGTGTATATAGCTTCAAATATCTCCCCGGCGTAACGTAACAATGCGTGACTCGGTGACTGCCAACTCTCATCAACTCTCATCCTCGTTCAAGACTGGGGCTTTAAATCGTTATTGGGCTATTCCACTTAATATCCGCACACTCCCCTAGGTTTCGCGGATAGATATTTTTCATAGGCGTATACCCCTGAGGCATTCCAAGCACAATATTCAAGTCATTAATTTTACCTATAATTGACTATTGTAGTACTGTATGGAAATGTTGTGGCAAGGTGAATACTGATGTGATTGAAAAACTGCAAAGGAGAGCTGCTCGCATGATAATGAAGTCCTCTATAGTAGTGATGAGGCATTAGATCAACTCAGGATACGATACCTTGGAAAACAGACGTGAGAAACATACCCTGAAGTTAGTTAGAAAATGCTTTTATTTTTACCAATTATTTTTAGATTGATTTAATTAAGCGGGTTACTAGACAGAGTGGTCTGCTTCACCCGCCGAGTGTTAGGTTAAAATCATCTAAAAAAATCATTTTATTATCATGGATGTGTGGTCTTTAATCGCTGGAAGAACGATCAGTCAAATTAGCATGTTTAGTAATAGGGACGGACCATTAGAAAAGTGATGGGGAGGGTGGGGAAAAAAACAGAAAAAAAATCCATGCAAACAAAAAAGGTTTGAAAAAAAATACATGCAAACAGACTTGTTTAAAAAAAAATTACAAACAGAACAACAATAGAACTTTAATTTTAAATGTACATCAGACAAAATTGATCTAAATCTTTGGAATGTTTCAGAATATAAATATATCAAAATATATAATATATTAATATGCAATTTCTTTCAATATTAACAGTAACTCTTATGTAGTTTTATTATATACTATCCAAATATTTTCTATTGTATTTAATAATTAATTCTCATTCACACTGCCACTGTCCTCAGTGGCGTAACTACTATGGGCTCGGACTGGGAGAATCCGGGGGCCCCCAACCCCAATGGGCCCGCAAATGGGGGGGCCCAGGCTCAGGCTATAGAGCAAAAACATTGGCCAAGGGCCTCTGATATGTTACAATGGCGTTTTCTGACCATCAGAATTCTGTAAAATCTCTCCCCAAAGTCCGGGAAATGGTATTTCAGAGAATTTAGATTAAAAAATTTTCTGGGTGAGCAAGCTCTGGACCCCTAGAAAACTTGTCCATATATGGCGCTTAAAGATATAATTTTGCAGTGTGTATTAAAGGGATATTTTTTTGTCAAGAGAACAGTTTCGTTAACATTTGTATAGTTGTATTGGAAAAAAAATTGCATGCGAGAAGACATGTTTAAAAAAAACATGCATACACAGCTGACAACCTGGAAAAAAATGCAAACAAAAAAAATTTACCCCCCCCCCCATCACTTTTCTAATGGTCCGTCCCTTATATGTATGTATTAATATCTTTATAATAATAGGTAATACCATTTGTTGTAATTTTTAATACTTAGTTCATATTGTATATGTAGGGCTCCTAATGATAACAGTTAATATTGTTACTAAATAAAAGTTTCTATCTGTAAAATATACCTTACCCATGAGGAACTCCACATGATTGAGAGAAAAACTGAACTCTTACCATTCATTGGTTATTATAGATATCCCATATGGTAAATTAGTAAAGACCATGTTTACCATTAATGGTACTTTATTTTTTCATGTGCACAGGAAATACCATTAATCATGGTAACTATTAAACAACATAGTTTTTACCAATTTACACATGGAAAATCTATAATAAATAACCAATAATAGTAAGAGTTCAGTTTTTAGATTGATAGTATACATGGTAAATCTTTAAAAACCATTCAAAACCTTAATGGAAAATTAAATGTTTTGATATTCAATTTAACATTGATACATTCGGGTCACTGAGTTGTGTTTAATAACTGAAATCCAAAATATATTGTAAATTTAAAATATATTTTATAAACTTATTATAACACAATATCGGTATATTGGCTGAACATAGGGCTGATATATCGATATCCAGTCCGATATGGATATGTATGGATATCGGTACATCACTAGACATTTTCAGCCTCGATGTCGCGCCATTGTTTCGTGCACACATAGACAAATTTGGCTAACGTTGTAAAGCTAACGCTGTTTACATCGTTGCTACCCATTTCACAACTTTAGATCACTCACATGCCTAGTTACCGTTGTTCTAGTTGACAGAAGCATAGAATAGAACAAAGGTAAGTGAGGGGCCGATCATATGGAGCATTTTCAACCCCGGGGTTGAATTTACTTCCGGAAATCAATGCCGGGAACGTATGGCATTTCAACCCCGGGGTTGAAATCGTCCATGTAATGGCAAAAAATTTCAACCAGGTTACCATGTAATCAGCCCCTATAAAGCATCAGAATTATACAGGGTGTCCATACAAAAAAAGTGAACCTCGTAGAAATTACCCTTTTTGTTGTAAACACCCAAGGCCAAACTTCATTATCTCTGGGAGTTTAGAATTAATGCCTTGTAATTAAATAAAAGCATATTAAAACTGCATAAATTGTACATGAAAATTCTAATTGAAAGTTAAAACGACTAGAAATTAGTTCTGTCAGTTCGATTAAAAATGGTTCAACTGACTAAAGAGCAACGAGTTTTTACTGTTTTACGGGCTGCGTTAAATTAATCAGCACATAATCATATTCATATGTTGAACGATACCAAAAATTTTTAAATGGGTTCAGTATAGGACTCAGGCATTCAAATTATAACAATGAGGTGAATTTCTTTATAAAATAACATGTATATAACGCGTATTCTGATTGGTCGAAAGCCGTGTTTGGATCAGGCCATCCAAACACGGAAGACTACCGTGTTGTTGTTATTTTATAAAACAATTACATGGTTTCCGTGTTTGGATGGACTGATCCAAACACTTGGGAATGTTGCTCGAGTTAAGAAAAGCGGGCAAAATCACTCGCCTTCGGCTCGTGATTTCGCTCGCTTTTCTTAACTCTCGCAACATTCCCGCGTGTTTGGATCAGGCCATCCAAACACGGAAACCATAAAGTAATTGTATAATGTCAACTTTTTTTAGACACCCTGTATACAGTATAAGAGTTAATATTCATTCATATAGATAATTCTAAAGCATAGTTACCTTTGTTCTATTCTATCATAGAATTTCTATGGCATAGACTGTGCTTCTGTAAACTAGAACAATAGTTAACTGGGCATGTGAGTGGCCTAAATTTTTGAATTGGGTATAAACAAATGTTTTAGCCAAATTTGTCTACTGATCATGATTGTTAGACAATTTCATGCGCTAAACTAAGAAGTGTCTCAGTATCCACAATTTTTTCTCTCGGCTTTCTTCTGCTGCTGCCCAATTCCTGTTCGTGTGTGTCAATACGTTCCCACTGAGCGAAAGATACTGGATTTATCCCTAAAAAATACAAGAATAATTAACAATTATTCACCGCCGAAGTGGAGGTGAATAGAGCGTTTGCACTCATTCCCCAGGGACCAACTCAACAAAAGCCATGGCGGCCATGTTGGTATTCCAGACAAAAAATTCTAATTAAAATTATTTTGAATTGGAACACCAACATGGCGGCTGTGACATCAATGTGCAAACGCTCTACAGGTATACAGGGTGTATAAAAAAAAGGAGACCTTTAGAAATCAAGCATATTGTTAAAATTTGAATGCCATTTCAATTGCACATATATGCTGAACCGTGGTGCGTGAAATATTGATTGAGTGCATATATTAGAAAAAGGAGACCTTTAGAAATCAACCATTTAACATTTGAATCCTGTAGCACTTTGCTAAGCCCACGAGTGCGTAACATGCGAATATGCGATCTACGTACAATATGCATGGCAGATTGTTCCCAGGAGCAGACAATCTTTTGTTTAAACGTTATTTTAAATTCTAAAGGTCTCCTTTTTCTAATATATGCACCCCATCAATATTTCACGTACTACGGTGCAATGGAAAAGGCATTCAAATTTTAACAGTATGGTTGATTTCTAAAGGTCTCCTTTTTTTTATACACCCTGTATAGTCACCAGTGGCCGGTTGTATAAAACTCTTAATCACTTTTTTAATCACTATTTTGTAGTTAAATAGTGATTAACTCTCAAATAGGCGCTTCTTATTGGATGACGTTCCCATTTTAATAACTATAGTTAACTTTAATCACTTTTTTATACAACCGGCCCCAGACTAGTCACCAACGGCTGAGGTGAATAACTGTTCTATGGTTTTAGCATATACTACAACAAAACAAAAATGACAAAAAAGCAACGAAAGTATATAGAAAGGAACAAGCTAAGATAGTTTGGCAAAGTATCTTACCAGTTATTGTGAATTTTCTTTAGAATGCAATGATAAGAAATAGTGTGAAGTTTCTTTGCATGAACGTTATTCTTGACTTGCACTGATGTGGGCGACGGCCATGTTGGTCCCTTTCAACAAAAGAATCTCATTAACTTCTTTTGAATTTGGCATCAACATGGCCGCCGCGCCATTGTCTTCTAATTCTCAAGGGACTGATTGCAAGTCAAGAATAGCATAAAATTTGTAGAAAAAAGATTTAGAAATACCTCGAGATTTAAGAAGAGTTGTGATTGTTGGGAAACCTTTATTTCCCATAGTAATGCCAGGAAACTTTCCTGCAAAAAGGTGAAGCATTTGTTATGGGCAGAAACCTAGTCAACCAGGGTGTTAGCCAGAAGATTAAAAAGTTCGGCAATTTAATGAAATTGGGAATTTCAGTTAGCCTGCGACATTCAGACCGGAGTTAAGGAATGTCGTGTTTCTTATTGAGTGACGTTCTCGTGGCCTAGCGCCAGCTGAGCTGAATTGAAACTTTTGAAGTGCAAGTCACCTGACATTGTTTTGCGTACCAAAAACAAACAAATATACATATTAGGCTACTTATCTGGTTCCCAATTTTGGCTATCTAAATTGTGAAATCTCTGGCAAAACGTAATTGTGAAAACGGCGTATATATAACGCCAATCTTTTTACTGTAGCTAACACCCTGTCAACTAACGTGTTTCATAGTCAATCAAGACATGATCTAAAAACTCGGCAAAAATCTCTATTCTATCTTTGCGTTCATGTTTACGCAAACTTGTGCACGTTGAGGACAGCGAATTTTCGGACAATTGGTCGTTGGTCCCTAATAGTACAAAAGTAGTGAGTCTGGCAAATCAAAATTAATTCAGTTCTTGAACTAGATCAAAATGAATTCAGTCCTTGGACTGGATCAAAATTAATTCACGTCACTTTAAGTAGTAGTGACTTAAATTGTTTCAAAATGTTGGGCCTGGACGAAAATTACTTTGTGTAAATCCAGTCACCCAATGAAAATAAAGTGTATTATTATATGGTTTTTCAAAATTCTCTATTCTGATTGGTTGACAAGCTGTCCGTAAAAACCCATATCCGGACCGTGGTCCGTATTTTCCGTATCTGGACCGGTGTCCCGGATGTCGTTTATCTGGCGCGAAATTTTTGCTTTGCAAACAGAAAAAATTTTTGCTTCTTAATTTTCCAATTGTGTGTCATTAAAATTTACAGATAAAATTTCAAACAACCAAATTGTTTTTGATTGAGCATGCATGCCTACCGTATATTGTTACCCAGTGAAACTGACGATAGCCGATTTAACTAGCGCGAAAAGCATATGCTCACAGACTCAGTTCAGCCATATAATACACCGATTATTGACCTCGCTTGTTCGGTCTGTACTGTGAAATATCAGACCTCTGTTTAAAAACCTCGGTCTGATATTTCACAGTACAGACCTCACGCTCGGTCAATAAGCCGTTATTATTATTCGTATGTAATGAGATGTCATATCAGAGTTTTACAATTGCGCGGACTGGATATCTGGAAAAGTCATCATAGTCGGAGTTGATATATTACGTAATATGGCACCTTCATTTAAATCTTTCACGACCACTTTAGCGGTTTCTCTTCCTTCATTCAACGTGCTTAAAATGACACCAGTTGGTCCAGTTCGTACCCAACCACAGCAATAAACACCTGTAAGCAATATATGTAATTTTCATTAATAGTAGTACACTTTACTCTATATAGCACACTCCTAAAACATTCTGGTTAAAATTTTCGTCGTTAACCTAGATTTAACCCCATGCATTTGGGTTAAGGTGGTCTTCCACCGTGAAAATTTTTTTTTTCAAATTAAAGCTTTTTCCATCATATTTGAGTCAAGTATGATAGATTATGCTTGGCAGACACAGGATCAGTAACTTAGAATAAGGCCTTCATGTTTTACTTTTTTATAGACATATATGGAAAATAATTCGTATAAGGGTTCTCATCGCTTGCAATGAATAACGCTCATATATGAATTTCTTTAGGTTCACGATATGGCTCTGTTGCCAATAAATAAACTCTGAAAATTTCGGACGAATTGATTCAGTATCAACAATAGAAGAATTTTTAGTATTTCGATTTTAAAGTTTTTGCATATATTAGAATAACTTGCATAGAACAATAAAATTGAAAAGTGGAACAATAGAATAAACCAACCACATAGCTTTATTGGCTCCGAGTAAAATCATGGTTTTAGCCTAAGAAAATGTAGAATTTGCTGGATTTCTCGGTTTAGGGTAAACGTAATCAGTAATACCTGGTAATCCAGCCACGTGACCATCATTAGATTCACAAGATACGACACCATTTTTATCATCAAATGGTATATCATTATCAATAGCGACGCTACGGTAACCAATACTTCGGAATATCTGAAGAAAAATGTAATAAAAACACGCGATTAAAATATAAAAATAGTTACAGGTAATACTCTTTTCTTTCAGAAAGAAATTGCTTGACATCCATTTGGGAATAAACACTCACCAGACCACAGTTCAAAATTTCCATTTTTCCACAGCGTTCTGCCCTAACAGCTCCATCGCCAGTCTAGCAAAAACATAAAATGACTTTATCTCAAAAGTGGTGGTCCAGTGTAGGTAGTATTCTACAATAAGCTGTCGTGGTTTGTGTCTGAACTACCTGAAAAAGATATCTGAAATGTGATGATCCAGTGTGGGTAGTAGTATTCTACAATAAGATGTTGTGGTTTATTGTGTCTGAACTACCTGAAAAAGATATCTTAGACGTGGGCAGTGTAGGTATAGTAATTTTACAATTAAACTGTAGTTTGGTCTAAAAAACATCTCCAGTGCGAGAGTTTAGTGTAGGGTATATGTAGTATTCTACAATAAGCTACCGTGGTTTGTATATCTATATCTGAACTACCTGAAAAATCTGAAAAACACTTCCGATCGATGTTTTGAGCGAAGATCATCGTCATACCCCCAAAATCAAACCCTTTTTCCTAATCCTACATCCAATCCTAACTGAGTCTGAATGTCGTATACCTCTATCAGATTATTTATTTCAAATTTAATTCCAGATACTCTTCCCAAATCTGTGCTCAATATCTCAACTGGACTGCGACAGAACTTTAGTTTGAACTCTTTTGATGTTTCAGGATCCTCATCGGGACTATTCCTAAGTGAAAATAGAGTTGCTAATAATGAGTGTTTTCAGTTTGACTTTGAAACACTGCCGGTTTTTCTCCTGTAGTAATAAGTGGATAAAGAGATGGCCTTTACTGGACCTCTATAGGAAGAACATTTTAGAACTGATAAAACCATCCAGTATAAATAAATTAAGTTTAGTTTAGGTTTCCTCTTGTAGTAACACTGTATCAATAAGAGATGAGCTTTACTTGGACCTCTATAAAAAGACGAGTTTGGAACTGATAGAGCTATCAAGTATGAATTAAGTCAGTTTAGTTTTGGTTTCTTCCTGTAGGAACCAACTGGATGAATAAGAGATGGCATTATTGGACCTCTACGAAGAACAGATTAGAACTGATAGAAATGTTCTGCAATAATCCAACAATTACTTACAATGCAGTATTGCAAAGCAGTTCAAATAATCTTCGCTTTTGTCGTGGAATTTCTAACAATAAAACCATAAAAAATCATATAAATGTAAATAAAAGATATCGATTCAAAATAAGGAAATGGAAACACACACTTGATCAACTAACACATATTTATGCCTGTTGCCAACCAATTCACATTTTCAGATAACTCACATGCCTGGTTACCACTGTTCTGATACAGAATGGAACAAAGGTAGCCAGGGTTGTTTACCATTTACATGGAAAACCCATCCGGTTTGAAATTGTGCTAATGGTAAGCAAAATTTCGGATAGAAAATCCCATTCGGATTATTCGCTTTCCATTTAATAATTTCAATTCTCAGCCCCCCTAAAGTCAACTACATGACGTATGCATGTATTGTACATATGTATCAGTGTATATATATGAACTATATGACTGCATGTACGACTCATCCAATTTTACGTTTATTACATTACTACAAAGTTTCTTTCGAAACATTGCATTAAATGGATACTTGACACAAAGATAAATGTCTATCACTGTTTCAATTTTACAGAAAAAAACTTTCTTACAAAGTGTAGACCCTCAGGAGTAAGGGACTCACCTATTAAGGTGCAGTGATACAGTAACTATTAATTTGTGCATGATAAATGGGATTTGTGCAGTGATAAATGAGATTCAGTGCAGTACTAATTTTCTTTAATATTTAACTATAGATTATACTAATTTGTGAAAGGGGTGCATAATTTATCACAAATTATTTTTAAATTGTTCAAAAGCACGATAAGAACAAGGAAGACAATAAGCTATGACGGCTTCACTTAATGTTTTCAAATTTTATATCGAATTTTATATGGCCTGATATATTCAACCTTTCAAGATGGAATGTATCAAAAATTGTGTCTGAAAATGCAAGAAATCAACCTCTGAAAGTACGATCGATTCTTGGACAATGGACAAAGTAAATTTCGGCTGGTCATGTTTGTCCAGGCTGCAATACATTTACAACTGTTATATAATACCAACCCTAATGCGTCAGTAAATTATTAATTAATTAACCTTACGGCTTAATGCAGCAAGAAATGTAGGTTGTTTATATATACAGTGTGTCCCACCCTCTATAGAAATTTATCCTATTGTTGTTAAGCACAGGATTTTATGCGACTGGTAATTAAAAATTTAATTCAATAATTGTGTTTACGCACTCTTGTGTTCAGCATAGTGCTCAGGCATTCAAATTATAACAAGATAATTTCTATAGAGGGTACTTTTTTGGGGGACACCCTGTAGAGCGTTTGCACTCATTCCCCTTCAACAAAAGCCACGGTGACCATTGCCAGTATATCGATCGCGTTGTTCTAGCTTGCTATATATCAGGACAATGGAAATCACAAGGCGGCCTACGCCAGACTCACATCGCTACTAGCTGGTAGACCATTGTACCATTCAACGAAACTTCTGGCAGAGTATACACCATGATTTTCCTGTCCAAAAAATAAAAGCATGTGAAGCGGACATTTCTTATGCAAAGACTTGGGGGATAATAAATGTGTAAATCATCAATAATTCATGGTAAAATTTGTAAATCATCAATAATTCATGGCTAAAATTCAAAAGAAATCAATGTATAGTGAGGTGTTGTATTCGCACATACAAAATTCTCCAAGGGCCGGTTGTTCAAAGCTGGGTTTATTAGGTCCAGACACACCGGACGCGATTCGACAACGCGACGCGATTTTTTAGTTTTTGAAAGTTAATAAAACAGCCAATGAGAGCAAATTTTAAAAGATATGTAGGCCAAATAACTCACAATGTTATAACGCTTCTAAATATTTGCAAAATTTAAACTAGGATCAAAGTTATCGGTCAGTGTCTGGACCTTTAGTGCTATTAAAACCCTGGGTTAAACGTTAACCTAATTGAGAGAATCGAGGAAATAGTTTATATGCAAATCAGGGACCGCGGTTGTTCAAATGCCGATTAGGTTACAGTCCTAGGTTAACGTAAATTTCAAAGCAAATTTCCCTGCTGCAGCTTGTTTATAAACATCAGACATACAGCTTCTCGCATTTGGCTCGAGTTTGAATATCCGATACACAACGGCAGCTCATGATGTATATATTACATACCTCGCCTGGTATGTGAAGTTTTCTGTCCTTCTCAGCACCATAGCACTTAACAAAAAACAACTTCAACATTTTGTCGCTATTCTAGAAGTCTATATTTCGCGTGTCTCAAGAACGAGGACAGTAAAGGGGCTTATTTATTTCAGTCATATTTTAGGGGTGCTTGTTAAGTTGCTAGAGAGATGGCTTATTGGAGAAAGGGCATTATTGGAGAGGGGGCTTTATTGGAGGGCTTTATTAAAGATGGGGGACTTATTGGAAAAGGGTGCTTCTATAAGCAGGGTTCCTTATTGGAGAGGAAGGCTTATTGATGAGGGGGTTATTGGAGAAGGGTGCACACGCTAATTAGAGAAGGGAGTTTATTGGAGAGGGGAGCTTATTGAAGAGGAAGGTTTATTGGAAAGGGAAGCATGTTGGAAAAGAATGCTTATTCCTTATTGACGAGTGGGTTATTGGAAAAGGGTGCACATATTTATTATAGAAATGAGCAAATCGGAAAGGGGAGTTTATTGGAGTGGAAAAGTTTAGAGAGGGGTGCTTATTGGAGAGGGGAGCTTGGTAGAGAGGAAACCTTGTTGGAGAGGAGGTTTACTAGAGTGTGGGGAGCTTGTTGTAGAGGAGGTTTATTGAAGAGTGGGGAAATATTGGAGAGGGGAAACGTTTTTTAGAGAGGGGTTTTATTAGAGAGGGGATTTATTGGAGAGAATGGTGCATTGGAGAGGGGGCTTATTGGAAACATGGCTATATTGGAGAGTGGGAAATATCGGAGAAAGGGGTTTTATCCCCATTTATTGGAGAGGGGGTTTATTGGGGAGGGGTGCTTATAGGAGAGCGAGGATTTTTTAAAAAGGGGCTTAGTGGAAAGGGAGTGTTTTGAAGGGGGTTTATAGGAGAGTAAGTATTGAAGACAGAAGACAGGGATGCTTATTGGAGAGGGGAGTGGGAGAGGGGGAAATATTGAAGAGGAAGACAATGATTGTATTTACACACTAGTATGTGCTTATATGTGATTATTTTATGTGTAAATGCAACTCAACTAAAAGAAACTTTCAAATTTTAAAAGTAAAAATTACCAGTATAACTGCATCATAAACAGACTTCAGTTCCTTCAAAGATACATCTCTGCCTACATGGACATTGCCAACAAATCTACATCGTTCATGTTTTGCAGTTGTTGTGAACTGATTGATGCAGTTCTAGAAAGAGTTAATTAATTCACTCGTCGAAAAATTGATCAACTTCCTGTATGTTTGAATCAACCAATGGCTTTGTGTTTCAGTGACTGATTGACCAATTGGAAACAAGCATGCTAGTAACCAGTTTTTGACCAAATTAATTGATCAATGTTAGGTACAGTAATGAATTGTTGCAATATTATTTTATCGACACTTCTATTGCAATGACAGTAAAGAGTTTCAAGGATTTCGAAGACAACTATGAATGCTGCATGTCCAGTACTTTTCTTGATTAACAGTTAGAGAAATGCTTTGGCATCAACTGGTCTGTTTGGAACCCTAATTGATGCAAGAATAATTGATTGTTTTGGTAGAAGAAGTTCTTAATTAAAGAGAATTAACATGGAAGAATGTAACAAAACATACTGGAATGAAAGAGAATTACCAAGCACCAACCTTTGTCTCAGGGTGGTCTGGTGCCACCCCAAATCTAACCAGACCGAATGGTACAGGCAACTTGTCATATATGTCAATCAATACATTTTCATGAAACTGAAAGTGAACATTTAACAAATATAAAAACACTTTCCGTGTTGATGTACAGTTATATCAACACATGTGGAAATTGGGAAAACGAGAAATTGTGTAGAAACACGACTCCCAAAGTGCGGAGTGTTTTCACACAATTCCGAATTTTCCCAATTTCCACGATTCCACCAATTCCCAAATAATTTGCCTTAAACTACTGGCATTTAAACACAGTAAAATAATAAAGTATGCATGGTGCATCAGGGTGCAATGCAGTTCAATGGATTAATTAACCCATTGAGTAAAATCGTCTGGCGTTAGACAGAGTAAAATACTAAAGTAGGGCGCATCAGCATGCATTGCCACTTAAAGGGTTAAACATTAATGATCTCTCAAAAAGCGGACACCACAACTTGGCCAGTCCATGGTCAATTTATGCGAGGTTTGACTGTATACTACCTTTAATAAATATTGTGCGGTATAAAATCCGGCAGGTCCACTTCCAACTATACAAACGACAGGTTTACCATAACTGTTTGTTCCGATTAACCTTCTTTTCATCCACGCAGTTCTGGCATAGTTTACACCAATACCATGTACCCTGCCGCACCTCGTAACCTGGTTCCAAACGTGCAGAAATTGTAGACGATTCATCAATGCAAACAAACTAATTCAAAATATGCTTTCATTGTCTATAATGTAAATATCCTATTCTATAATGATTGATACTTCAATAGCCAAATAATGTACCATCAAAAATTATATACAGAAAAATTTTGCAGAATAATCACAGATTCAGTGAAAATATAAATTACTTCTAACCTATAATCTCCATACAGTTATAACAATGCAGTCAGTGTAGAATAGAAACACGCGAGGCGAGTTATGTGCATACAGTTATATCCCTAGATCAGTTACATCAAAGCGTCCCTGTGACGTCATATTCTAAGAATAATTACTGAAATAATTATTCGAACAATACACTGATCTGTAAATGATTGTATGATACACTGGATTGAGTTAAATTCAATATGGCGGAAAGTTCGAAGTCTGAAGACAAACAATGTACAAAACCTGTGTGTATCATTACATTGGGAATGGCAGGGTCAGGAAAAACTACATTTGTACAGGTTGTACTTTCCTGCAGCTAGGCATATAATTTTCTGCATTATTTTTGTTGTAAATAAATAAATAATCGATGTTTTTCTAAATATATAAATGCCAAATGCAGTTATAAATACTAAGTTACTTATACCGTTGTTTGTGTCTATAAATAAAGCGTGATCAGTCACAAAATAATGAAGATTTTCTTGCATGAAACTTGACATACAGTTTCATGCATCATTTATCTATCTGCCTGACTGGAAAGTTTGGAAATTGCGCACCCAAGCCTGATATCTGTGTTGCACAATACAAACTTTCCAAACTAGTGACGAATCTGACGATCAGCAACAGTACAACCAGACTGCTATAGGCCAAGTTACATGAGGGCTGCATCACTAAATAGGACGTCCTACTTTATTATTTTACTCCTTCTAGAGCCAGATTATTTTTACATGTCAAGAGGAGAGTGCTGCTACTCAATGGGTTAATATATTATCTGAATTCTGTTTGCAGAGAATCAATGCTCACCTACATGCAAAGAAAACACCACCCTACGTTGTTAACTTAGACCCAGCTGTGTATGAAGTACCTTATCCCGCAAACATTGACATTCGAGACACAATCAAGTATAAAGAGGTCATGAAACAGTACAATATGGGACCCAACGGTGGAATTATGACGTCCCTAAACATGTTTGCTACCAGATTTGGACAAGTTATTCAATATATAGAGAAAAGGGCATCAGAATTCAAGTAAGAACTAAATTGGTAAAAATATTATACCATTTGTGTTCAAGTGTTACCCCACGGTGCAATAAAAAGTTGTTTCCAAGTTTTGCAACCAACTTTGTGATTGTACAACTTTACATTTAATTTCAAACCTCATTCCCAGGCTCACCTCTTCATGTGGAGGAAAGACCATGGTAGGAGCTGGTCACATGATCTGCTAAAATCTAGCAGATTTTCAGGGGTGTTATACGTTTTGGGACTTGGATGGGAGCCCCCCCCCCCAAATTTCGGGGCTATTTTTATTGGGGGGGGGGATTCCCCTTCCTGTAGTCACAAACCTAGACTTCATTTTCTACGCTCACCTATTTCCAAGTGAGGCAAGTGGTAATAAGGATGAAATTTCCTGCAAATTTCCTTGGTGGAAATTTGCAATAGACTTTCCTCTCTAAACTATCTGTTCTTATGAGTTCGGAATTCTGCGAACACAGTGATCTGCTAAATCATGATTGGTTTTAGTGTATATCAGCTGTATATTTGGCTGGATTTCATGAATCCTGAATTTCCTGATTGGCTACAATTTCAACCAGGTAATTATTTCTGATAGTAAGTAAAAGTTGGATCAACCTGCAAAATTCAGTACTTTATTTCAAAATAATCTGTCTAGTAATAAACTGTGAAAAGGCCAAAAAAGAAGCCAAAAGGCCAAGCAAAAATAGAGAAGCCAAAATCAAGTTATTTGGCCTCCAAGAGGCAAATCTACCCACCCTGTACAAATGTGAAATTTTCTTCAATTTTCCATTTAATGGAAATTTCCTGTTTCATTTGAGCCGTTATTACTGAGTGTTTCCACTTTTCAAAAATTTCTTAAAATTTCCATTTTGATTCCCTCTCTAATTCGGACAACGCATATCTCTTCTAGACATGTGTTATTTGACACACCCGGTCAGATTGAGGTATTTACATGGTCAGCGTCAGGTGCCATAATTACGGAATCTCTTGCGTCATCATTTCCTACTGTCGTTGCATACGTCATGGATACTGCTCGCTGTGTGAATCCTGTCACGTTTATGTCAAATATGCTGTACGCTTGCAGCATTATGTATAGAACTAAACTTCCTTTCATAGTTGTCTTAAATAAGGTAAGAATATTAACTCTTTGTGATTACGCCCAGTAAAAATCGATCTCCCAAGATATATAGTTATAATTTCACCTCAATTGCATGTGCAAAGATTAACGCCCGTATTCTAAAAGCTCACTCACACTCAATGAGTGGAGGTTCAATCTGAGCTTCTCTTGAGTGTCAATGGTGTTTTTGAATAGCTGGAGGGCTAGTGTCATACCTTACTATGTGACTACTCACCCTCCAGCTATTCAAAAACACCATTGACACTCAAGAGAAGCTCAGATTGAACCTCCACACATTCAGTGTGGGTGTGAGTGAGTTTAGATTACGGGCGTAAGAGTGTGTCCAGTTTGACACGAGCTATGAAACGCAGAAAGTTTCCCCTGAGTATTCCAGTTTTCTCCTGTGCTAACACCGGAGCAATAAGGTATAACCCTGACGGGACCTCAAGGGCGGATCTGGCCTGATTTGGGGGTTCATTACTATGGGGCTCCGTGGCTACGTTTTATGGTGAGCCGCCGTATTGGTGCTTGAATATTTTCTCGCATATTCGAAAATCGGTCGTTTCATTATAATAATTAGTAGTATTCACAACTCAAATATGGAATACCAGAGTTGTCAGAGAGGGAAGGGGGGGGGGGCATTATCGTTGTGTAGTGCAATTTTTCGAAATACAGTGCCAGGTACAGTACCGAACAGTGAAATACAGTGCATTAAAAAGTGAAAATAATACTATTAGTTACAAAAAAACACAAACATAACGAGTGGCAAAATTTTCTAATAAAATTGTTTATTAAAATTATCTATTTCACATGTGACCTACGCAATGGATATGACTTCATAATTTTTTCAAGTACATTATTAATAAGTAATGCTACGGTCCCTCGTGGAATTCGGAATAGTCACTCGTGAGTTTTCAAAGACTTCAAATTGCAATTTTCCTTCGGACTCGTGCAATTTCGATAGTCTTTGAAAAACTCACACGCGCATGTTTTTCCAAATTGCACTCGAAACCATACTATTACGGGACCGGCTAAACGGAGAGTTATGAAGTGGAGAGTTATCTCGGAGAGTTATGATTTCGGAGAGTTATGTTCGAACCACGCCCACATAACGCCCACTTTTCCCAACGACCACACCCAATTTCTTAACTCTCCCGACGTTTCCTTGAACTAACATGAGAGAGTTATGTTTGACGTAACTCTCTCTCTCCTTAACATTACGAAGATGTTAGAGAGTTATCATTTTTTATAACTCTTCACGTTCATGATTGTGGCAATGAAGAGAGTTAAATCAGTTTTTTGAAAAAAACTTCCACATATTAGTAAATTTTTATAAATTTACTTTTTTCTCAAGTGTCAGCTTTAACATTTCACGCTAAGTAGAAACTATAATAGTACTTTAGTACTTACCAAGTTCATCTATATGTAAATGTTTATATAAATATACATGCTCACTTAGATTATCTAGCAAGACCAGCATTCAGATACATATTAGATAGAACCAGAAAATCTTTCCAATGTAATGCCCTATTGACTGATCTGGGAAAGTATTTCCAAAACCTGAATTGCTGAAAGATTCAATTTTCTTGCAACTATGCTTGCCGTATTTACTGCCAAATACACGTTAAAACATGCTTCTGGGGGTACTTTGACCCTTCTGATGCAAGGGTCTCATTGTTTTGACCGAGTCAAGTTGTACTATTTCCTGTTTGGACGCACGCTATTCACACGCTACAAACTGAAATACCAAAATATAAGATGAAAATCTGAAGAAACAAGCTTTACTAAGGTTTTCTCAAAAAACTGACTTAACTCTCTTCATTGCCATAATCGTGAGCGCAGAGAGTTATAAAAAATGATAACTCTCTAACATCTTCATAATGTTAACGAGAGAGAGTTACGTCAAACATAACTCTCTCATGTTTGTTCAAGGAAACGTCGGGGGAGTTAAGAAATTGGGTGTGGTCGTTGGGAAAAGTGGGCGTGGTTTGAACATAACTCTCCGAAATCATAACTCTCCGAGATAACTCTCCAGTTGGTAACTCTCCCTTTAGTCATACCCTACTATTACCTATATACATATACTGCAATTCCCTAATGCTTTTACCAATATATTAGACAGATATTGTTGATCACAGTTTTGCAAAAGAGTGGATGACAGACTTCACGGCATTTCAAGAAGCATTATCCCAAGAGACAACGTATATCTCAAGCTTATCAAGCTCGTTAAGTTTGGTCTTGGACGAGTTTTACGAAGGTTTACGAAGCGTTGGTGTATCCTCTGTGACGGGGGCGGGCATTGATGATTTTTTTAAAGCGGTCGAGGAAGCTGCCTTAGAATACGAAACAGATTATAAACCTGGTAAGGTTTTGGGATGGGTTTAAACAGGGCAGGAAAAAGGAATTTTCTTCCTGGGAGCTAAAACTGGAGACAAAAATATCCTGCAGACCAACGGAGTACTTTTGTGCTAAATCTACATGTGGATAAACATATGTTTTAGCTGATCATGGTTTTAAATTCAAGGAATAATGTCTGTCAACCATATGTTGTTGCGCCCATAGTGGGACATGGGTGTTAAGGTTTCCTTCAAAATTTTCAATAGCAAATCTTCAATCAAACGAATTTCCTGCAGCTGTTTAACATTTCCTGCGAGCAGTGCTCGCCTATTTTTTTCCACCCCTGGGTCCAAAATTGAATGCCACACCAGGGCGTTGTTTAAGAATTTGTCACTGGGGAGTCGGGCATGTACAGAAAGAGACTGTCCTATACAGAGTATGGAGAGATGACAGATTTGGTGTGGTGTCGTATCATGGGGTGGGGGGGGGGGGTTGGGAGCATCCTCCCCCAGAAAATGTCCATATTTTTCCACCACTAGGACTGCATTTTGTGCGTTTTCTGAAACAGATTTTTGGATATACAGCGTTATATTATATGCAGATAGACTGAATCTTCAGTTCAGTACTTGCATGGTATGTTTATGTAAATACCGCCGGTTACTTTGTTTAGTACTTGTAATATCAATTCTGCTCTCCTTCCTCCACTCTAAGCTTTCGAACAAAGTTATTTTTCCTCAACTTGGTCTATACTTTATAGCCTGGTTATTTTCGAAAACGACGTACTATTTCGTAAAACCGATTCAGTTATTTGCCATCTTAAATCTTGAAGTTACCTTGTTGAAGAATGAAAGTAGTGATACATTATAATTTGGTTACAGCGCTCAGTTGTGACTTGTGTTGTTATCGCCTAACTAACCAACATACACTATGTGTTTTTGATGTTACTCTGAGTGTATATCCACACCGGGCAGGCTGAAAAGTTTGCCTGACCACGGTGGGAATCCAACCCGCGACCTTTGGGATACTAGTCCAATGCTCTCCCAACTGAGCTACAAGGTCAAGTCGGTTCGACTGTGTGGTATTTCGGAACTAAGTCTAGTACCGTCGATACCAATGCGTTCTTATGATCATGATATTTTTTGTGTGTGTTTTGATGTTATGTATTCAGGTGAATAAATGTTTTTGATGTTACTCTGAGTGTATATCCACTAGTTAATCCCCCTCCCAATAGCGGCCTACTTTATCAAAACAGACATATACTCAATATCAGACATATACAATAATTCTGAAAGCCCATTGTAAGTTTTGAAGGATTTTTAAGACATATTTGAGGGAAGATGACTCAGTCAGATTCAATTTACCTATGCAAAATTCAAAAAAAAAAGAAGAAAAAAAAAAGTTTTTATGAAAAAAAAAAGAAAAAAAAGAAAAGTTTTTATGCAAAAACTACTAGCCTTGAAACTAAACAACACTCCTTTATTATGCTTGTGATGTTACTCTGAGTGGATATGCATCCACACCGGGCAAGCTTGAAAAATATGCCTGTCCACGATGGGAATCGAACCTACGACCTTTGGAATACTAGCCCAATGCTCTGCCAACTGAGCTACGCGGTCAGGCCGGTTCGAGCATGTGATATTTCGGAACCGAATCCAGTCCCCTCGATATCAATGTAATTTTTATCTCCTTTATTATTTCGTAGAGTATGAAAGACTAAAACGCGAAAAACAGGAGGCTATAACAAAATCCAAACAGGAACAGTTAGAAAAACTACAAAAGGACCTCGGACATGGTGAATCTGTTGTCATGGAAACAAGCACTGCGGACTGGCAGCCACAACCGAGCAAGAACCCAGAGATTTCTCTCGGGGCGAATGACGAGGTAGAGCCGAACGTTGATGGCGATGAAATACCGGAAGACCCGCAAGAACAGCAGTCATTTCAACGTTTTCTTAAAAGAGAACATGCAAAATCGTCTACTTCAAAATCATAGTTTTATCGTTCTAAGGGACCGGTCATAAATGTTTTTCTTGGTAAAAATGATCCAACTATTTAAAAAATTTTTAAAATTTTGTACCCGACTTCAAATAACAACTAAAAGATAAATACCTACCCCTGTCCAAAAACGTTACAAAAGGATACCATTCAGTTGTCACACATGTCCTTTACCATTTCTGTGACATGAGTTTGATAACTGGTTGTGCAATTTTCTGCAGTCTAAAGTTTCATGTTGTCTGCACATGTACTTTCTTTGGAGACACCATTTGCCTCCTGACAAATCGGCAAATGATCAAGATTGTGACTCTGATTTATTCACATATTCTATTTGACATATGACTGTTGACACTGCTTTTTAGTCTTCAATATTTGAGTGAGTCATGCTTTCGAAATGACGATAGATTTATATTACCCAACCCTTGAGTCGTTTTGTTTTTCATTTACCCAACCTTTTACTTACTCAAAATTTTGTTTGCCCAACCCTTTTCTCTTTGGTGCCACTCCCTCCCCCCCCATAAATAATGACCGTTTCCTAATCATAAATGTTGTATTGCTTTTATTCAGAGATAACGTTAGACGAATGAATTTCGACGACAAAAACCGACTGGAATTTTTCTGTTTCTGTCTGGTGTTATGCATTCGGGTGAAGATATATGTTTGTGATGTTGTCTCTGAGTGCGTCCACACCGGACAAGCTAAAAGGTTTGAACCCGCGACCTTTGGTTGCTAGTCCACAAACATCTATCTTCACCTGAGTGCAGGGCCCCTAGCCCCGTGGTGCCCCCCCCCCCACTCGACCATCTTGCCCTCCCCCAGTCAAAGTCTCTCTAAAATATAAGCAAAACTTTGGAAGAAACATGAAATTTAGAAGGGAGGTTTGATATTCTAATAGTTGGAATTTGCTCAAAAATTTGCTTTGTGAATCTTATGTCCTGTCTCTTATCTTCAAATGATTCAATGTCTTTTTAAAAATGCTAAACATATTTCCAACTTCCAAGTGGATAGCCCCTATTCAAGACCCTATAGATTTGAGTTATTTTTTTTAATCATATTGTCGTAACTTTGTATGTAGACACATAATGTAGTGGCAAATTTATAGCGGTTGGTCATAGAATAAGAAATGAAGAATAAAATAGAATAAATAGATAGAATAAATAAATAGAAATTCATTTCCTATTCTATGTCTGGGTTGTGAATACACCCTTTCGATAATTATGTCATCTGGGAGCCTCGCTCTCATGAATTGTGAGCCAATCACTCCTTGCGTAATTTACTAATGAGAACGAGGCTTATCGAAGGGGTGTATTATGCAAGACAATTGGACGAATCGAGTTACAGCGTTATCAATTTTCATCTTGATATTTGGGGCAAATGGACCCCAAGCTGAATTTTTTGTGCTCAATTTAGTCTATATCCAAAATTTAACGTTGTTTGGACAGTCTCGAATTATACAGCCTTGGAGATTTCATATATACATTTGACTGGAATTTGCGGTTGCAAGAATGATTTAAAACATTTTCCTGCAGTAGCAAATTCCAGTCAAAAGTAGGAGGGGGAAATATATACAAAAATATTAAAATTGATCCAAGTTTAGGGAAAGAAAAAAATTCCTGCAGCCACATTGAATATAAGCATAGAAAAAAATCCTGCACAGACACAGTTTCTGATCTATCTCGCTTAAAAATTCTTGCAACGAAAATCGCCCCCCTCTCCCGGAACGTATAAAATAATAAAGGTGAGTATTCCCTCCCCCCTGGTTTTCGAAGCAATGCACATGGTCGCCATAGCAATTTTGACGTACAACAAGAAGACAAAATGGCAACTTCGATACTAGAGCCAATTAGAATGGCAAAAATGCCTTCGACTGCTTCGAGTTCCAGCGAAACACATAGCAGAATTCACGAGAAAGCTTCTCACTTTAAATCGAGAGAAATTGCTGACCCGCTGAAAGTTTTAGAGCCTGAACGCAAGAAGTTAACTTCTCTCGAATCACAGCGGATAATGGCTGTTTTGGAAGGCACTATACGACGAATTGAAATATCGACAATTCTCCCTTTTGTTGTGGAGAATTTGAGCCGATTTTCTATCGTGCTCGGGGCAGAACTTACACATTTGTTAAAGGAACACGACAGCCTACAAGGACGCTACCAAAAGGCTGTTTCACAACTGCATTTGGAAGAAAAGCGTCTCGTAAGTACACAAGAGAAATTCGCACAACAGAAAAAGCAAAAAGAGGCTGAATTCTTTCTAGATGACGACGATGATGATCGACGAAGCTCTATTGGTGGCGCGGACGATGAGACAACTGCTTTAGATATCACTTTGGCAGAAGGCAAAATTAAAAAGGAATTAAAAATGGTGAATTTTCTTAGAGAGCAACTCAAACAGTCCCTCAGAACACTCCTTCGTCTGTTCGTTCGAAATCCCACAGCACTTGATTCGTTGCGAAATGAGAGCAAAGAGCGGTCCGAGGAAGCCAATGAGATGCTGACGCAGCTGAATGCTTTGAAGGGAACTTTATTCGAACGTTTGTTGCGGACGCCTTCAGAGTTGAAAGAGAGAGACAGTTATCTCAAGTTCATAACAGAAAGGGAAAGAAAGTTGAGCAAGCATGCTAAGAAATTACGGGAAGAGTTGAGTGTCGCTACGGAAGACAAGGAGAATGAGGCAAGTATAACATCAACTCTCTCGACCCCCCTCCCAGTTTTCAGTCCCCCTTGCAAACATACTCCCTCTCTAATAAGCCCCCTCTCCAATAAACCCCACCTTCTAAATAAGCCTTTTCTCTCTTAAAATAGAATAACCCACTCTCAAATATTAGCTTCCTGGCTCCCCCTCTGATGCCCTACTGCTCTTCCCCTCAAACAAGCCCCCTCTGGATAAGCCCCTTCTGGAATAAGCTCCCCTCTTAGGTACCAGGATGTATCTAGCATGATCCGGTAGGGGGGGGGGGTATTTGCCGGTTCTGGTGCCGGGCCCGAGTTGTGTTGGTGATGTGTGCCGTCCGCCCATCACAGTTCACTTATCATCATGTTATAATTCCTCATATTACTGTACCTCACTTCATCTCTATTATTTTTAACTTTATCATGAAAAATAGCACACACTCCCCCCCACACACACACACTCACCCAGTAATTCCATCCCTGCTTAAGAAACCGTTTCTGAAATAAGCCTCCTCTCAAATAAGACCTTTCCCCTTTATATAGGCCTTTCCCCTTCTGGAATAAGCTCCCCCTCTTAAATAAGCCCTTTCTCAAATAAAACTCCACTATAATTACCTTCACCTCTCAAATAAGCCCTCCCCTCATCCCCCTCAAATAAGGCCCCCTCTCAAATAAGCCTCTTCTGGGTTGAGCTCCCCTCTCTTGAATAAGGCATTTCTGAAATAAGCCTCCTCTATAGTAATCCCCACTAAGCCCTCTCGAATAAGCCCTCCCCCTCAAATAAGGCCCCTCTCAAATATGCCTCATCTATAATAACCCCCACCTTTCAAATAAGCCCTCACCTGCATAGAATAAGATAATTCGCTGTCAAATTAGCCTCCTGTCTCCCTCTCAAGCAAGACCCTTCCCCCTCTCTACCCCTCAAATAAGCCCTCCATCCCAAATAAGTATCTCTCAAGTAAGGCCCTGAACTTGAATAAGGCTGCCATTTAAGTAAGCCCCCACCCCACCCTTCATTTGTGTGAGGTGTTTGTTTAATAGATTGAATCATTTTAAAATCACTAATTACTTGTCGTTTTGTTTGTTAGTTGGCGAAGCGTAATGACGTCATCCGCAAACTGAGGTTCGATATCTTCAATGTTGAGAGAACATCTAAAGAAAACAATCAACAAGTCATTAACGAAGCGTCGAAGGAACAGCTTGCCGAGGACAAGAACTCGGAGGGCAAAAGGTCTAAATTGCAGCAAGAAATCATCGAACAGAAGAAACTTACTGAAACTTCTATTGCAAAACACCGAGCAAGCGAACTTGGACTTCGTAAGGTGAGGGGACTCGTTTAGTGATTTGACCGATTGGTCACCACAATCGGAAATTAATTACTAATTTATTAATTAATCATGCAACAATATTACTCAATAGTCCCAATTGAAAATTGAGTTTTTAACTACCGTGTACCGGTAGTAGAAAAGTGAGCTTGACAATAATATATAAATCCCTGGTATTTTTGCATTTACCCAATGGTATAAAATGGTCTCCCTTCAGAACTGAAACAAGCAAAAATCATTAGAATTGTGGAAGAGTAACAATCTGGGGTTTTTTTCAGAAAAAGTACAAGGTTGAAACTGAAGTGGAAAATTGGATTCAAAAATATGATAATGACATGGGCGAACGACAGGTAAAAACCTAATTATACATTTGGTAACTTTATACTGGATAGCATGTGCGGATTTACTGGGGGAGGGGGGGTTCCCCGAGAATTTCTCTAACCCCTCTAATAAAGTGCTCAACCCCACCAAAATTTTGCTTCACCCCTCCTATTTTGTGTGAAAGGCTTTAATCCAAATGCCTTAACCCCCTGCCAAAGCTCACTGAGTGGTGCTGCTTGCACTCCCATCACTTGCTCTCACTCTCCTCTCTACCCATCGTTTTAAATAAAATTGAAAATCGGCCCTTGCTGGATAGCGCTCTATCTCCAGTAAGTGTCATGCATGCTTTATTGATCCAGGTTTCTTCAGGAGGAAACCTAGTAAACTAAACTAACTTTATTTATACTGGATAGCTCTATCAGTTCTAAACTGTTCTCCCTATAGTGGTCCAGTAAGGATCATCTCTTATTGATCCAGTGTTACTACAGGAGGAAACCTAAACTAAACTAACTTTATTTATACTGGATAGCTGTATCAGATGAGATCTAAACTGTTCTCCCTAGAGGTCCAGTAAGGATCATCTCTTATTGATCCAGTGTTAATTAATTACTACAGGAGGAAATCTAAACTAAACTAACTTTATTTATACTGGATAGCTCTATCAGTTCTAAACTGTTCTTCCTAGAGATCCAGTAAGGATCATCTCTTATTGATCCAGTGTTACTACAGGAGGAAACCTAAACTAAACTAACTTTATTTATACTGGATAGCTCTATCAGTTCTAAACTGTTCTTCCTAGAGGTCCAGTAAGGATCATTTCTTATTGATCCATTGTTACTACAGGAGGAAACCTAAACTAAACTAACTTTATTTATACTGCCTGGATAGATCTATCAGTTCTAAACTGCTCTTAGAGGTCCAGTAAGGATCATTTCTTATTGATCCAGTGTTACTACTGTAGGAAACCTAAACTAAACTAACTTTATTTATACTGGATAGCTCTGTCAGTTCTAAATTGTTCCCTGTAGAAATCCAGTAAGAACCATCCCTTGTTGTTCCAATGTTACTATAGGAGGAAACTAGATTATCACATTATATGTTTGCTTTCCACGGAAACGCGAACTACAGTAACACGACGGCTTTTCTAAGCCATCGTGTTACCTAAATTATAATTATAGAATACACGTCAATTTTTAGACCTTACACCAAAGTACTACGAATTAAATATTTAAATCCTATAATCGCTGACTTTTTAACAGCAATCAGCACCAAAAAAATCTTACTTTGGCTGAATTAACGTCGTCAAAAATTTGCCGACCTGGGAGGTTGATAGGTCGGCATTTAGGTCGGCATTTAGGTCGGCATTGCCGAATGCCGACCTCGTTTTCGAGGGCTGATTTTAAATATTCTCACTGGGAATCGAACACCATTCAAAGGGACGAAAGGCACATTCATTATTGGAACCACTGTGCAACGAATGCAATTTATATATTTTCAGGATGAGTTTGACCAATTGGACACAGTTTACACAGAGGAAAAGAAACAACTCAACGAGTTGGAAGAACGATTTCGGACGATGGAGAAAGAATATCGCGATATTATGGAGGAGCGAAGGATCGCCAGAGAGAAGGCCGAGGAGGCGAACAGAGAGTTACAAGCGAAAATCAAGGCGGCCACTTTAATTCAGTCATTCTGGCGAGCGCTTAAAGCGAGAAAACAACTCAAGAATAAAAAGAAAAAGGGAAAGAAAGGGAAAAAAGGAGCTAAAAAGAGATTGAGATAAACATAATGTTCGACTCTGTGATGGAACTGCTGCGGCATGGGCACCTATATTCCTTCTAGTTTTAACATCTACAGTGGGGGTCAAAAGTTTGAGTCCATAGTCAATATGCTTTTGCCTTTTATTGATATACGATATATTTTCACACAATAGAGCATTATATGTGCGTCAAATAAGGATTTGCATCAACGTTGGGATTGATTATACTATATTAGTCAAGTGAACATTATTTTAATATTTTGTGTGACCTCCTTTTGATTTTAAAATAGCTTTACTCTTCCTGGTATAGATTCAACAAGTGTTCTAAGTACTGCTGGCTTAAGTTTATTCCAGCATTGATTAAGGACATCCCATAGTTTTCTTTACTTGTGAGATCATGTTTCGCTTTCTCTTGTTTCAGATGATCCCGTAAATTCTCAATAGGATTTAGGTCCCGAGATTGAGGAGGAAAATCCATAAAAACCAGATCACCTTTCTCTTGCTTCCTTCTTCAATAATTTTTACACATGTGAGAAATATGTTTCGGATCATTATTTCGCGTTACAAGACAAATCTCCTTCCACACAACCTTAAGCTAGATGGTATGGCTTGTCTCTGAAGGATGGAGTGATATTTTTTTTCGTAAAAATTAGTTAATAAGTAAGGGAGCAAGAGAAAGGTGATCTGGTAGTTATGGATTTCTTCCTCAACCTCCAGATCTAAAATCCTAAATCCTATTGAGAATTTATGGGAACATTTGAAACGAGAGAAAGTGAAACATAATCCAACAAGTAAAGAGAACCAACCTATGGGATGTCGTCAATCAATAATGCTGGAATAACCTTAAACCATCAATACTAAGAAAACTTGTTGGATCTATGGCGTTGAGTTGAAGCTGTTTTAAAATCAAAAGGAGGTCACACAAAATATTAAAGTAATGTTCACTTGGCTAATATAGTACAATTCCAATGTTGATGTAAATCCTTATTCGACGCACATATAGTGGTGTGTTATGTAAGAAATATTGTATATCAATAAAAGGCAAAATCATATTGACTGGACTCAGACTTTTGACCCCCACTGTATGTTAAAAAATTCAAGCGATTCTGGAATTCGCCAAGACTGCACGCGATTGGAAAAACGTGTGCCAAAAGTAATAATCGCATATATACTGTATAGTAGTTAAGTAATTATTCGCCATTACGCGTATATGAGCTCCTAGAGCCTGTTCGCAGGCTAATGAGCTCCCTGCTACGCCCTATATTTTTGTTTAGAAACATTGTTTCAAAACAAACCAGGAAACATTGTTTCCGATAGTCATGTTTCCCAAAGGTGCATGGGCAAACCAAAAAAAATTGTTTCCTAGCCATGTTTCCAGAAGGTGGACAAACCAAGAAACATTGTTTCCTAGCCATGTTTCCCAAAGGTGGACAAACTTTCCGAAGGTGGACAAACCAGGAAACAATGTTTCCTAACCATGTTTCCCGAAAGTCGACAAACCATGAAACATTTTTTCCTAGCCGTGTTTCCCAAAGGTGGACAAACCAAGAAACATTGTTTATTGCCTTAGAGTAAGTTGATTTCGGAGTATAAAACTAGTCCATCTACAAATACGTGATTGCGCGAATTTGTCTCTGGCCTGCTTAAACCCATGTAAAATAGATGATAACTTTGTAATATTCCCTACTCTGGTTTAAGTATAAATAAATGTAATCGTCGAACAAGTCACATGGCCCTTTAGATACTTGGAAGATAACGTAATCTCGCAACAACGTGGAGTTATTCTTGTAATAGTAACGACCTGTTCATATGAGCCCAGCTAACCTGGGACGCTTTCCATTAACATGGCCAGAACGGTCAAATTGTTGAATGGAACACAAAACGTTTGGGCTTCGGACTTATCTGAAGATATCAAATATTTCGAAGATATCACGTTTTACATAATGTCGTCCTATGGCTATGCTATAAATGTTACCCTAAGTACGTTAGGGTGTGCTAACCAACCTTACAATCGATGGCTTCCTAAGGACGCCTCTGGCAGCCACCTTATGATCGTGTCTGATGACGGAGCGCGGCTACGGTGGAAGGGTTAATTAGGGGCTAATCCCAACCCACCCTGTCAACATTCCCATACTTCGGGAAATTGTTTTTGTAGTCCGAAAAACTTAACACTGATATTTTTAGCCAAAATTTTTTGAAAATTTACGAAAAAATAAAGGAACAATTAAATGACAGTACGTTAACCAGAAAACAAAAGAAAATATAATGTTTTGGAAAACGTCATCCCCCCAACCCCCTCTATTACTTACACCCCTCCATTAAAAAGGGCTAGCGACGCCCCAGGCTGAATTTGCGCGATTTAGCCTTTCCATTCTTTAACCGTATGAATTTGTGCATGCATATGAGTAAATGGCAGCGCACAAATCTGTGCGAATGCATGAACTGATTGTGGGAATGTAGCTGACTCTTTCACAGTCCCTCATTCGTACGCGCGGTCGGGTTAATTTGAGCACAGCTGATCGAATTCCCATTAAGCATCGCGCTCCCATTGTTTTTCCACTGACCTCTATTCCCAACTGAAGCGACGAGGGACGATGCAGGGAATGTAGTGTTTGTGTCACTACACTTGTTCTGTTCCGTGGCTACCAAATTACCTGGCCACGTCTTTGCAAAATAAAATTTACATTATCAGCGCCGTAGCAACCGGGGGGGCTAGGGGGCTGCAGCCCCCCCCCCAATAATTGCTAATAATCATTCTTTTTTCAAAATTATGCAGACCTTTATCAATTTTAAGCTTTATTAATTTTAAGCAGCTACATTATCCATGGCAAACTGCAAAGAAAGAAGATATTACCCATACTTTCCTGCAACTTATCCAATATATAGTTAATTAAATACACCTTCGCCCATTTAGTACTACCAAATTGTAAATTTCGACATACTAAACGCTGTTTTCTGACCATCAGTTAAATCGCGAAGAGCCTGGAACTGGTGAA